TTATACAATTGTTATTTTTCAATAATTTTCGTATTATCGTTTCAAATATTGTAAATAAAAATAATTAATTCTTAATACCTTTAAATTAGTTAAAATTAGAGTTATCGAAGAGTTGAATATTCAGTTGAATAAACAAGATTTTATGAAACACAACAGTACCTCACAAACTCAATTAATAAGACCGTAATAAAGATAACTCAGAGTTCAACATTATAAAGGTGTTTGCCCTACTGATTCCCCCGATAAGTCAAATTTGTATAGAATTAGTGTAGTCTAATCCTGTGATCCCGAATTAGAGTTTATTGATTATGTGGTTTCTTTCTCTGGGTTGTTTTTTTTTTCTTTTTTTTTAACTCGGAGACTTTTTGACATGAATTAAAATAATCGTTAAGATAACATTAAAAAATAAAAAAAAAAAAAAGATATAAGGTAAAAGGGGGTATTATGACGCACATGTGATATCTCATGACACAGTGATTAGAATCTTTTGATTTTACTACCATTCGATTTGTCTCGATGAGACGAATCGAATGGCGGTAAAATTATCTGATTCTGAACACTGTGCCATGAAATACTGATGTTTAAATAAAATAAGATATTTTTTTTTAGTCTTTAAAATTTTAATCTTTAATTATTTGTACCTTTTGACATAGTGAAGAAATCGAACGATTTTTGTACCATTCGTCTTGTCTCATTGAGACGAATCGAATGGTACCAAAATCATTCGATTCTGATCACTAGTTCACAAGATATCGCGTGTGCGTCATAATTGGTCCATGTACAATAATTTATTGATTTTTTGGGGGTTGGTTTAATTTGCGATATCTTGTGATCTGGTAGCCAGAATCGAACGATTTTGGCACCATTCGATTCGTCTCATCGATACGAATCGAATGGTATTAAAATCGTTCGATTCGGATCATTCAGTCACATGATATTGGCCGTAAAAGTTAACTGCGTCATAATACCCCTTTACTTTATATCCAAAAAAAAAGAATTAAAATTCCGAATGGAATAAACATTGATATACCATGATATAGTATCAATATGGATAACATTATCAATAGTAACTATCGGATAATAAGAATTAGCAGTATGTTTATTTATACTAGCACAGAAACTATCATAGCACATACCCAACTCTAAATCATTACGGTAATACGGCCGGCAATTAAAGTATCAACTATTAGAGAGCCACGTAACAATAGTGTAAGTTATAATTTCCTTTCTTTCACTTAAAAGTTTATTTTTTATTTTTTTTATTTTTTATTTAAAATATCAGTCGTAAGATAATGATTATAGTAATAATGCAAATAATATAAATGTCCAGAATGCAGTATATTATATTATTACGATGTGATAACATATTTATGCTCGGTATTGATATTTACAACACATTAACCTTTTATAAATACATATTAAATTAATAAATTTCTACATATATGATAAAATTTAAGAATATTATATTAAGACATATTTAAAACTAATTTAACTAACTTAGTTCAATTTTCTAAAAAATATAATTTTAACATATTCCATTATAATTACAATTCCATATGCCAGTCATGATAATTCCTTTGTCACCAGAAAGAATATCACCGTCTTTCGACGTTAAAAATTTTGAGTTATGCGTAAAAGTTTTATGAATAGGTTCATAAAGATCATCAAGTATTTGGGTATCCAATTCTTTACGAACCCTTTTATCTTGTTCTAAATGATTTTTATGTTCGCGATAAATATTGACGGGAGTATCAAACTCATCATCATCGTCATCATCTACTTGAATTTGTCGACTATAAGTTAGTAGTCTACCGTTCCTGCTCTTATTGTGCGTTAGACTACTGTTTATGTCAGTAACGATTGAAGGAGTGTATTCATCGGATTTTTCTAACTGGATTGTAGGATTAAGAATACTTGTATTTGAGTCCATCGTTTATGGTTCTATGTGCAACGATAATAAGACTATAAATTTGATTTTATTTCTGCCTTCAAATAATTAGAATTGTGATGAATATTTTATAAGTTTTATGTTTAAAAAAAAAAAAAAAAAAAAAGTATTTAGAACGGTGCGCTACTACCGTGATATTTATTCTCGGAAGCAGTTTTATTACAGCTTAAATGTACCAATCAAGGAGTTTACAATTACATAAAATCCTGTACCTCCATATTAATCAATAGCAAACCATTTTGTTAAAATCATAAAATCATGCACATTTGTTTGTGCGTTACATTGTTGTTTATTTCCTAATCGTTACAAAAAACGAATTGTACATAAATTTACACATAATCATAATGAAGGATAAAAAAAAAAATCTATTTTTAAATAACAAATTTTTTATACAGTTTATGACATCTAATGTTTCACAACTTTATATCACTATTATTAGTATTACTGTTTTTACAATCTCTTCTATATGGCCAAGCGAAATATGCAAATACAAATATAAATTTTGTTGTACCGGACTTTAAACTCAATCTTATTACATGAATTACGTAATTGAAACAGATTACAATCAGTTTACTATTCGTTTTGACAGCACTTTAAATGTAAGTACGTACAATACGTAAGTACTGTATTATATGTTTCAGACGACCAGAATATTTAATTATGCAATTCATATTATAATTTTCTGAATCAAACTCCGTATATATTTAGCTTTTAATAAATCTTATATCAGTTCGCTATGGTATGTGTTAGCTTTGTGAATACCTAGTTTGTTGTAAGAATTTATATAATTCAATGAAAACCATAAAAATTTTTAGGTGTTTTCGTATTTCTTATAAGAGTCTTTATATATATAATCGTAAAGCTAGCTTGTAGTTCGATATAACGAAGTTCACGAGATAACCTAATGCATCGGTATATGTGATTATCCGGCAGGTACTATGTAAACATTGACGGAAAAATTTTTACATTATTTCCGATAATTTTTATTAAAATCATGTGACTAATTTTAATATAAAAATCTGCGGAAGTAATATAAAATTCTTTCCGTAAGTGTATACGTCATACCTACCAGATAAACTAGTTATCCGACATGATATATGAATCATGGACATCGACAGTATAATTACAACGCACGAGGCCTTCGGTCACGTGCTTTTGCTATTATCCTGCCGATACCCATGTATCCCCAGATAACAAGAATCTGCTTAAAATTTGATCGTAGCTTGTGACTTACATAAAACCAATCATGATTTTCAATATTAAGAATTAATTATTTTTATTTACAATATTTGAAACGATAATACGAAAATTATTGAAAAATAACAATTGTATAA